CACACACACACACACACACACACACACACACACACACAGCCTTCATCCATCTGAAATTCTTTTGGTGTGAAGAGTGAGCTAAAGATCCATCTTGCTTTTTTCACAGATGGCTGGCCAGTTATCCCACACCACTTCTTACCCTTTCCATTTCAGGTTTTAAATTTCACTAATTCAGTCTGTTCTTTTGGCCAAAGGAAAGAATTTTAACTTTACTAAGATAATTATTTTTTCTACCCACCTCTTAGCAGACTGACCCAAAATTCTTTTCTTTTAGGATCCTTTCAAGTATAGCTATCCACCACTAATAGATGATGACTTCCAGACACCATTGTGTGAAAATGGGCCTATTGCCAGTGAGGATGAAACTTCAAGTAAGGAAGATATAGAAAGTGATGGCAAAGAAACCTTGGAAACAATTTCTAATGAAGAACAGTCAGCTCTTCTGAAAAAGGTAATTCTAAGAATAAAATGAAATTGAGTCAAAAACTGTGGCCTTAGCCCCAATTATACTACTAGCTCGCTATGTGATTTTGAGTAATTCACTTAACTTTCTTCCCCTCTATATCTTTTTTTTTTTTTTTTGGTAAAACTGGGCCATTCTAATGTTCTTTATAATAAAATAAATAGTTCTTTTATTGAGTGCAGACATGTAACCTGTTGGCTAGTACTCAGAAACATCACAGGTAAAGGTGATTTTCCTGATTGGTGCGTAGTCTTCAATAATTATAAGGAGTTACTTGTGTGAAACCTATCAAACCAGTAAGACTGCATATATGCATCCATCATTTTCAGGACTGTTGGTAACCTGGGCATATTTTCCCAAATAACCTTGCCACCTTGTGTCACAAGGCCCAACTAGCTCACATTCACCTCAACAACAGTACCTTTGGTAACAACACCCAAAGCTGTATAAAGTGGGGATGAGAGATTTTTCTTTACACCAAGTATTGGCAGGCAAAAGGTGGCTTTCAATTCAGGATGTATTACATGGGCCTTCTTGAAACGTAAGCCCATTGGCCTAATGAATGTTTCATTTAGGTGGTTTTCGAGTAAAGCCATCTCCAACAAAGCAGAATTTAGTAAGCATCCTCTTCCATACTTCTTTCTCTTTGTTCAAATAACTTTTAATACCTGTTTCTCCCTGAGCAAGAACTTTGGGCACAGGGACTTCCCATTTTCCCGCTTTCTCTTTTCATTTTTGTTTAATCATATTGGAAAGTACTTTGGCTTGAGACTGTCCCTCTCTGTCCAGTAGATATGCAGGTACCGCTCCTTGTGGAGTCTTTTCATCATTCTTTTGTTTGGTGTTTCTCTTTTCATGCATCTTGACAGTCTTTTTCATTTGTATTTTCTCAGCATGGCGCTGTTTATGATAGAGCTTAGCTTTGAGAGCAATCATCTCTTTTACTGCTTTGAATGTTCATGAGCTTCTCGACCTTCCTTCTTTCTCTTTTTCTCATGGTAATCCAAACAATATCCATAGCGCTTACGGTGTAACTCAATATTCGTGTTTTGTGACATGGTCACGGCCACCGAGCCATGGGGCGCAGCCCCCCGGACACAAAGAACTTCTCAAGTTCTCGAGTCTCAGAGACCCGTGAGCTGACTCCATGCAACTCGCAACAGGAAAGTCCCCTCTATATATGTAAAAAGAAAGAGGAAGGATGGGTGAGATGGGCCGGCCAGTTCCATACTTTTGTATAAAAATTGGCAAAATGCACCTAGAAAGAATCGTTTTATCTCAAATATTTTTTATTTATCCAAAACAAAAATTTCAAATAAATAAAAATATTTTAGATATTTATTAAAACTTTATCTTGATCCACTTCCTTTATTTCATATTTTCAAAAGCACTCAATTGTCACCTTGTTATACGTAATCAGGGTCTTGATAAATACAATTTAGAACAGATTTAAAGACTCTTAAGGAAAGGACCATGTTATACTTCCTACAGTGACATTTCTAGTAGGCACTCAAATATGTTAAGGTAATGTTAATATATATTAACTATCCAATTTAGATATAATAAAACTACGTTAAAGACTATAACTTGCATTGAATCAGTGTTTACTTTTTGACCTAATGACCAGCCCAGCTGTCAATATGAAACTAAATTTATCTTTTCTTCATATTTTTTTTGTCTTCAGATTAACTTAACCGAACCTACTTCCAAAGCAGAAGAAAATGAAAAAGTTGATTCCAAGGTGAAAGCTTTCAAAAAACCATTGAGTGTGTTTAAGGGGCCCTTATTACACATCAGGTAATTAGAAAAGATTTTATTAGCTACACTTTTCTAACATATTTTGATCATCTTGAGGGAACTGTAAAGAAAACTTGTATACTGTTTTTGAAACTGTAGAAAAACAAAATTAAGGGTTACCGAAGATTCACCTTGGTTTCCAGACAGTGGATATTTTTGACTACCTTTCTGTTATTTTGTTGAGTATGTTTGAAAGGCCCTCATTATTTTATTACATCAGGTAATAAAAGCGAATATTCATATATTAACAGGAAATCTGAATAACATGTCCTTTTCTTATTTTACTGATACTGTTAGACTTGCACAAGTTCAAAGATGGCAGAAACATTGAAATGTATGCATTTATTGATTTGACCTTCCAAAAGCTAAAGCTGAACCAGAAAAATAGACTTTTTTTTTTTTCCTAAAACCAAATTTCAGCTCATTTCTGTTTTTGTTTCAGGGTTATACAATCCACAAGATTCAGGATTGTTTCTTGATCATTATGTAAAGATCTCTTTTCACTAATGATGCTTTTGCTTGGTAAATCTATTCAGTCTCATATTAATATTGCTATACCCTCTTTAGTGATGACCTAATGTATCGTTTTCTATCTCTTTACTTGAAACCTTTCTATGTAACTGTTTTAGGTATGTCTGTTATGAACAAGTTGTTTTAAAAATTGAATCTGAGATTGCCTAATTGACAAGATTTGTTTACATATATTTTGATTACTGTTGTAATTGGATTTGTCATGTCTCTGTGTGGGGGGAGGTGGGGGAGGGAAGGAGAGAGAGATCACACATGCCCATTGTTTTCCATGGTTTTTCTTTGTTATTTTCCCTCTTTGGAGTTTATTTTTCCCTCTACTGGTTTGGAAGTTATACACTCTGTTTCTTCACTGAAAGCCTGTCCAAACCATAGTTCCTGGCTTATAAATGTCGAGGTATGGCCGGAGGAGCTGGCTAGGGAGAAAGCCAAAGTGGAACTTTGGGCTCTGCCATGCACTGCCTTCGCCTGCAGGAAAGTCACAGCACTTCTACACACACCCAAAGACGCAACCTATGTCTCTCACCCCAGAGCTTCTCACAACTTTTCTGTTGGTCACTGAGAGCAGTTCTGAGATCCAAAACCTTCCTGTCTTCTCTATGACATATTTCAGATTGAGTCCTAAAAGGCAGCCAGCGACTATGCTCATTTACAGTCTTGTCCAAAGCTGAGCAAAGCCCTACTGGGAGAGCACATCCTTAAAACTGTGTGCTCTCTAGATGAACAAACATCTCTGAGATAAAGACATTCCTGATAGAACAGGAATCTATTTACAGATGTATCTCAAAGTGCTATCTGACAAATTCACCTTTTTATCTAAAACAAAAACACTGCCCTGCCCATAAACATGTTTGGAGGTACCTGCTGTAATTCGGCTTATGTAATTAAACTATACAAACTTAACTGGAGTCTTTTTGTTTTCATTTTAGGCCACGGGCATTATAGTGGCCAAAAATAGTAACATTTGCATTTTGAGGTTCACTGATTTTACTGTTCTTCCTCCAGTTCCCACCCCAGATTTTATTTCTGTCTTCATATTTCTTCTTCCCTATGACAGAGAAAAAGCTTTTTTTATGTAGTAAAAAATTATTCTGTTACTTGAATACATCCCTAACGATCTTTCTTTTTAAGTAATGCTCTTCTCTGTTGGTATATAAAAATACGCCCCATTCTAATCTGTTTGTAATTAGGTAAAGCTGAAGCAGCAATTCCTTCTTTGCTTTATTATCTATCATCTTCCCAAGAGTTTAAGTAAATGCTCCTTATGGTGGTGCTGATTATAGGACTAATTCAGAATCTTTCTTATCCTCTCTCTGTTCCTTCCTCCTTTGCTTTTGATCTTGGCAAAACCATAGGACTTTTTAAATAGCATGCATTGAATCAATAAGATTAAAATGCGAAATATATTAGGTAATTATTTTGTAATCTTGTCTTTTTGATGAAATCTCTTTATACAAACAAGTGTAAAATAATAACCGATGTTTTTCTTCAAGCTAATGATTACGTTGTCATTTATTCTGAGTAATACAAACGACTTATGTTTTTGTCACCACTTAGCCCAGCAGAAGAACTGTATTTTGGAAGTACAGAATCTGGAGAGAAGAAAACTTTAATAGTGTTGACAAATGTAACTAAAAACATAGTGGCATTTAAGGTAAATTTCTGAAAGAATAAATCATGTGTGAAACTTTGACATGGGAAGTGATTTTAGACTTTTTTTTGACATTTTAATTGAAAGATTGATCATTTTGAATTTAGACAATGTTTTTATGGTATTTTTAAGCATGTCATACTGCCTTCTAGTTCTAACCATGTGACATGAAATAATGCCCGAATTAATCCCAGGGTTTAACATTTGTTTTAAATTTAAAAAAAAAAAAAAAAGGAAAACGAATGATTTATCATAACAGTGAAAAATAAAACTATAAAATCAAATGTACGTTTCTCCAAGGTAGTATATATTTAGGAGTGTAGTTTATACTGGGTACTAACCTGATACAGAGCATTAAGCGTAACAAGACTGAGCCTACCACCATCCTGTACTGTAGGTGTTATTTCCTTAAATCATCTATTTAAATTTAACCACTAGGATGTCTGGATGTCCTTTGATTAGCTACTGTGTTGTTTTTTTTTTTTAATTTCTGAACACTATTGTACCGTGTTCTCATGCATTCAGTTTTTTTAATATGTATCATTAAATTCAGGCAATGAGCAGACAGAATAACTATCTGACAGATGGAGTAATTTTTTTTAAGAGGAAGACTGAGTGACGATTGGACTTAAAAGATGAATGAATATTTATTTAAATAGCTCGAGATCCTTTTTTTTCTATTGGTGGGGTAAGGGACATTCTATGCATAACCACCAAGCTTACTTTATAAATGTAGGTTATTATTAACTGCTGATTTTGTTAAAAGTCCTTCTTAAACCATTTCCCCCAGAAAGCATAAAGGTTATTATGTGACTACTGTGTTTATAAACAGGTGAGAACAACTGCTCCAGAGAAATACAGAGTCAAGCCCAGCAACAGCAGCTGTGACCCTGGCGCATCAGTTGACATAGTTGTGTCTCCCCATGGGGGTAAGTTGTCCCTTGATGACCACTTGGGGGGACCTGGGGCTGGGCGATGATTCAGCGGAGCTGGACTAGAATCTAGAAATTAAGTGTCAGCAAATCACTTCACTGCACTGTAAGCATGTTTTCCCACGTGTAAAATGAGATGGGCAAATGAGTCTCTAAAGCCCTTCCCAGCGTTAAAAAATTAATTGAGTAAAATTGTTTAAACTGATGCCAGTTGAAATTGAATTTCAAAAAAGAAGTCTTCATTTTTAGAACTTTTTTCTTTTTATGGTAGTTTCACATTATTTTTCCTTAATGTTTTTTTCCAGAATAATGCCTTAAGCCACATATATAACCCTTTATAGATTCCTGTTTATATAATAAGCTGCCCTTTTGGAATGCAGGTTTAACAGTCTCTGTCCAAGACCGTTTTTTGATAATGGCTGCAGAAATGGAACAGTCATCTGGCACAGGCCCAGCAGAATTGACTCAGTTCTGGAAAGAAGTTCCTAGAAACAAAGTGATGGAGCACAGGTATGCTTTTTACTCACAGGCCGAAAGAAAATTCTGAAAGATAAATGTGCCTATGTGGGCTGTGCAGACATACCTTTCTTCCAGAGTTTAGCAGACATTGAGGCATCTAGTGTGGGCCCTGAGTTCTGCGAGGCTGTAGGATACCCAGGTGAATGAGAACTAGAGTTTCTCAGGATGGTTGCTAATAGCAGACACTTGTTTACAGGCAGTATAAGAATCTGGATGTGTTAAAACACAGATCTTGTCTGATAACTACAGTATAATCATGGGTGGGAAGAATACCTCTTAGCAGTCAGTCAGGGTCCCTGTGAGTAGGGACTGAATAGCCACTGATCTTTTAACTCTTCTCTGAATTTGGTAAATACCTTCTTAAAGTGGCGGGCAAAAAGAGCCTTGTCATTTCATCTTGCTAAGGCAGTCCCTTGCTAGCCACTATATTGCTTCGAGTCCTCCTTTCAATTCGGTCTTTCCTTAGATACCAATAAGAATTTTTTAGGATGAAAGCTCTCTACTTTCCAAACATAGAAGGTTTTTCAATTCAAAGGATCTATTGTCTGGCCATTGACAGGTAGGATCTTATCTTAATCTCCATATCAACTCAAACCAATAAGCCTTTTTTTTTTTTATGGCTTAACCATGGACACAAGAGTTCTCCCGAAAAAGGGTTCAAAAATGTAGTCCTCACAAGATCAGAAAGATCATTCCAGAATTAGCATAAGAGCAAAACCCTTCATTGTCTCAGGCAGCAAGAATGGTGTAGTACAAAAGTGTCTGAGGTTTCCCACAAGAACATGAGATGCCTCTAGTCACAGATGCACTAATCAGTGACACTGGTCAGGTACTACTGGAATGGGACTTTTTCAGCACTTAAGATACATGAAGGTTGAGACAACAAAGGCCCCTTAGGGACGAGGACCCTTTATGACAAACTCCCATGGGAGCTGGCACGGTCAGACAAAGAGAATGCTGCTTGTCACTCTGTGTCTCAGATCCCCAAGCCTATTCGGCTGGCCACCGGATGCATGCGGACACATCCATTCTCCAGCTGGCAGAGACCAGAGAGAACATTCTCACTAGTCACAAAGCCAAGCTCTTAAGACATAGAACAAGATGAAAGGAAAATCTCTTTGGGCCTGTGGTTCTCCTTCTTATGACAAATGACACGAGAGACATAAAACAGTGAGCATCTCTGGGAGGAAAAAGGATCAACAGAAACAAAGAACACTCATAACAAAAATCTCTACTAAAGTCACTGTCCCCAAAGAACTAGTTCAAATATTTCTCCTCCTAATCTAAATTTAGAAAGGAAGGGACACAGTGAAACTTTTCCCTTCCCCTCTCAGCCTGCACAAGAGTAAGATTTACAAGAGCTAAGTCTGATAAGAATTCTTACCCTTCCTTGGCTTCTGCCAGTCTTTCAAGATCCAGTCTGTAGGCTCCCAAGCCAGTACGGGGTCTCAGCAGGACCTATGTTAAGTCACCAAACTGTAGATAAGAAAAGTAATTTTCTTTTACCCTTCTGGGTTCTTGGCTGAGACTCCCCGACTCCAAATCAAAGATTAACAGAAGGAAAACAAACAGAAGTTAATACTGCGTACTCCTCCTGTACGAATTGGAGAGATCCTGAAAACAGTAAAACTCCCCAAATGCCCCAAGGCGCCACCTTAAACACCATCTCCAGCAAAAGACAAAGGAAGATGTTGGGGGTGGGGCCTGGTTATGGAGGTTATTGGGAAAGGCACAGTTATACAGATATAGGTCATTGCCTTCTCCACTGATGAGCCATTCAAGAGATTGAGTCACCCTCCTCTTCCAGGTACAGAAAGGGAAGCACCCTTACAAATGGAGATTTCCCTTAGAAGTGTGAATGTCTCTTACAGAAGGGTAACTTCTCGGTCTTCACAGCTTTTCCACTGTCTGTGTCTTTAAAAATAATCAGCTCCAGATAATCCTTATGCCAAAGAGGCATTTTTGGAGTGGAAAATTCTGTTCCCTTCAGAGATAAGGGGACTGCTACCTTAGGTGTATCTGGGGAGAGGAATGAGTACTTTCCCCTGCGTTACATATATTTCTGTGGTTTTTTGTTTTATATTTTACTTTTATTTTTTAAAAAATCATTAAAAATTTTAAGTTATGTTTCCTTTGGATTTTCATAGGTTAAGATGCCATATTGTCGAGAGCAGTAAACCAACCACTCTTACGTTAAAAGATGGTAGTTTTAACGTGTCAGATAAAACCAGTGAAGATATGTGTCTACAAGTAAGTGTTCATTCTTCTTAACCAAAACAAAGTTCTTTATGCTGATTAACATTAGAAATCCATTTTTTCCCACTGACGTAAGGAAAACGTCTGGCATAGACACGACAGAAATGCTCTCTTCTTTGTGAAGGGAGGCCAAATCAGAAATGGTAAGCAGCAAGTTACTTGTAGAGATCTACTTTTTAAAAGCTCTGGCCATTTGAATTTGAACTAGGGACCATATAGTAAAGCACACAGTGCTTTGGAGAGTAATCAGAAAATTTGATCCCATAGGAAATGTACCATGTAGTTCATGTAAAATTTAAAAAGATGGAGTTGGGGGCGGGGCTCTCTTTCTGAGCAGCTAGTTTCAGTACTTCCGAGAAGTGATTGCTCATTTTTCAACTAGAAAACTAGACCTCTTCAAAACGAGAGTAAGCGGATAACAGGTCTGTTCACCAGACAAATCTAATTCCCCATTGCATTTCCAGCTCCCAGCCTTTCAGAATAAATGTTTGGATTTCTAATATTCCTGTTTGTCATTCACATGAATAATGTACTGTTTTATTGATACAACTCTTTCATCCTTTTTCCCCTCTTTAGCTCAATCGTTTACTAGAAAGCAATAGGAAGCTCGAAGACCAAGTTCAGCGTTGTATCTGGTTCCAGCAGCTGCTGCTTTCCTTAACAGTGCTCTCGCTTGCTTTTGTCATCTCTTTCTTCTATTTGTTGTACAGTTAAAGAAGTGGTGCTCAGTAGGATACATGGCTCTTTTGTCCATTAGTTGAAAAAAGTAAGACCCAGAACATCTCCAGCGTGCTACTAACAGCGTCACACATAGTGCTTCCTAAAAGGAAATGTGCAACACAGGGAAATAGATACATGTCTTGAAAATGAACTATTAGAATAAGGAAACACTGAAGAAATTGATCATAAAAGCGTATTAAGCTAGTTGTTAAAGTAAGGCATATCCGTTGTGTAAATTAATAGTTGAGGCATAACTTATTTTTTCCTTTTGATTTGAGTACTTTTAAAGCTTAAGTTTTATCTATGTATATGAGCTGAACTGAAAAGTATAACATGCTTTGTTGCAGCCAAAAAGTGTAATCTGCTTTTTTTATGACATAATTATTACAGCTGAGCCAACTTATTAGCTTTTCTATACTGTGTATATAGAACATGTATATTGGGGGAGGTGAAATAGAGTAATTTCTGTAATCATGACTTTGTAATTTTGAGAATTACTTCCAGACGCTAGTCAATATTCTTTGGGAATGTAAAACTATTTAATGCCAAACCACCTTTTGCCTTTGTTTCTTATATGTCTTCCTTAACAACCGGCCTTTTATTAATCTTGAACTTTTTAATGAACACTCTCAGAATTTGGGAAACGAAGTTTGGTTGGATTTTCTTTGAATTCTGTTAGTGATATGCAGAGGGAACCTCCCGTCCCACTTTCGAGTCTTTTTAATGCCATTTCATGTTGCTCCTATGGCCGGACCCTGAGCCTTTTGCTTCATTTATTCTAAAGGCCTGATCCTCTATTGCATCCTCTTTACCCTCTTTTCTAAATGAAAAGAGTTAAAGGTTTTTAAATAGTTTTTGAGATGCACAGCGGTATCATTCGTTTACATTTCAGTTCCTTGTTAGAGTCAGCCATGAAAAGGAAACTTGACAAAAGACCAGAGTAATCTATAAGGATGAAGAAAAAAAGAAAAATTGAAACTCAAACATTCGTTGTCCTTTTAAGAGTGAAAACCGTAATTCGTAACCATCTATAAAACCTTCATGCCAGGGCTAAGTGAGTGACTTGCTTAATACTCTGCCTTCGTCACAGTAATACCGAGGATCGTTCCGAAATTCCTGAAAAGAAACACCTTGCAGGAGTAGAGGCAAATGAAATTAGTTTGTTTTCCTCATAAATACGTCCACTTTCAGTCCATTTTGGTTCATGTGTAAATCTACTTTATAGGAAAGAAAAAATAGTCTGCTTGTAAAATAAATCATGAGTTTTGATTGAGCCATGTTTGGAGATTATTTTTTTTTTTTTATTCTGAGGTGCAGTGTAGGCAGCTTTCATCCAGAGAGAGTCGATGCTTCCAAAATTGAGTTATGAAAAATGATGCAATAGACCCCCCTCAAAACTGGCCTAGGAAATAAAACCTTAAAAGGACACTGGTCTGATACTTTGTCTTAATTTGGGTTTTTCTATTTCAGTTTGCCAACTCCAGAAGTGAAAGTGACTGCAGCCCACTCTAAGTACTGTCCATACTGCCTCCCTGTGTGTGTGCACAGCGGGGTCCCCTTATATGTTACAGTCCCGGTTTTAACTTAATCTAATCCCAATGTGTGTCTTTTGTTCCTTGGCAAATAAATGAGGAAATAGTCAAAATTGGAAATGTATTGTCCTAACAGTGTCCCTTTAATGTTTCATATGAAAATTACGTTGGCTCACTAAAATGTGCTTCCCTGACGCCTGGCCAGTTGAATTTATTAACATATCTTTTTAATGTTTGTGTCTATTAAATGTGACGGTGAAATCACTGAAAATTAACTATAAAATCAAAGGCATCCAAACTTTCGTACTTGTCATAATCACATATATTTGCATTCGATTTTATTCTGTCTTCATTTGATTTTATTTAATCACATTTGTAGGATTATTATTTTTGGTACTCTATAATTAATCATTTTATTTCGAATCACGTCATTACCTGTTCACGACCAGATTACCAAGTGTCAACATTTAGATTGTTTTCACTTGAAGATGGAAATGAATAGATTTTGCATGAAAACATTAATGAAATCTCATTAGTTCGATCTGTAAGTAGCCTAAAGATGCAATTGCTGGGGAGCCTAGCCTCAGATTTCTTAATAATACCATAACTTTTTATATCTTGCCACTAATTTTGACTGGATTTAATAGCACTTTATTGTACAATTGCAAAAAAATATATTCCTAGAATTGTTGCCAGTGTAATTTCTCTAATGTTCTGGTGCTTTTCATATATTTTCAGTATTTTTATTACTATATTGGTATTTTCTTTGTATAAATTGATCAAAAGAATGTTTTCTATTTTAATATGTTTTAGAAAAATAATTGCATTTATGAAATAAATATCATCAGGAAAAATCTCTGGTCTCTAATTGATAAAGCATCTTAAAGTCAATGTTCACACTCACTCTGACCTTTTAAAAATCACATTAATTTCTTTTAGACTTGCTTTGCATTTTTATAAGGACAGCCCTGCAAGCTTCCAGAGATGCAATTGTATTATCAAGTGACCTGTCCTTAGTGTGTCCCTTTTCTCCTCACCCCCGGGTCAGGGTCAGAGTCTGGCTGCTCTTCAATGGAGCTCTGTTTTCCTTGTACTGAGCCTTGGACTCACTGTCACGGCTTGGGGCTCCATCGTGAAAGTGACTGGCAGAGCTGCCCCACGTCCTCCCCATCCTCCCCATCCTCCTTCCCACTCACCTTCCTGCCTGATGGAAGCCAGCAGGAAGCAGGGCTGACCCATCCCACCTAGCTGCTGGGCACATGGAAGGCAGTCCCTGTGAGGAGGCGCTGGAGCACTGGGCACTGGCGTTGCTGGAGAGGGGCGGTCGCAGGGAAGAGGCACCAGGGATTATCGGTGTGGTCCCCTTGCTACCAGAAGACACACCAGCCAAATGGCAGCTACTGCTCCACAAAAATAAAACGAATAGGACGGGTCCGTCTTCTAAAGTGAAAAAGAGGGAGAGATACACAACCATCAGAGAAAATCAAAACTGAGCTACAAAGACGAGTGACCCACCAGGCAGCACACATACTGGGGACAGTGGGGGTGTGGTCTCCTTTCCTAAAAGACACACTTTTCTAGAAAACGAACTCTGGAGAGGTCTTATCTCTCTCCCCTAAATGTTCACCAGCAACTTGAGGCATCCTGATGGGCCCGCAGAGGCATGGGGCTGCCATCCTCTCCCTGGCCAAAGAGGACAAAATGGAAGTCCTCCCATTTGTTCCAGCTGAGGCGATGATGGTTAGGAGTGAGGGCTCTAAAATATGACTGCCTGCCACTTGCTACCTGTATGACTTGGGAACGTTAGTTGGCCTCTTTCAGCCTCAGTTTCCTCGTCCCTAAGTAAGTCTGACGATCATAGTACTACTTTCCAGGAATGTGAGAGCGAGAGGAAGTAATGCATTTGTCAGGGCCAGTGATGCTCAACTGCCTTGACTGCTGTGAAGAATGATCCCTTCCAGTCTGAGGAAGACACGATCACACGTTTCCTTCCACTATCGCGTCCACAGCCCCTTCAAACAGCACACACACAAACACACAGAATTGATCTTGCAACTCTCCACCTATAACCATTTCTCCTTAAATCTGTAACAATTCAATAAAAATATCACAGGATCTTCTACATCTTCATGATAACTTTGTCCTTACATTGAATAAAATTACCTCCTTATAATGTCTAAAGATTCTCTTCCCTACTCCACTCATCATGTCCCCTGCCATGCAAAGGCATGTTAAAGTATTTGAGACAATTGGTTCCACTGGCAAGAACATAGAGGAACATCTCCCTGACCCATAGGGGCAAGATATATGCACATTTTCAAGTCTTTCTAGAGAGAGAGTTTGACTGGTCCTCAAAACTCTACCAGTGCATGCTCTTTTGTCCTGAACAGTCTGGGAATACATCATAAGAGCTTGTGTCTTACAGATAAGGAATCCAAGGGCTCAAGCAGTAATTCTCTTTCCTGAGGTCACGTGGCTAGTTGGTTTCAGAGCCAAGCGTTGAACTAGTATCCCAAGCCCAATGCTCGTCTGTTACAAGCACCCAGAACTGCCATGTCTGAGTAATAGCTTAAAGTGTTGAAAGCACAGGTCTGAAAGCTTTACGTTCACTAAACAGCAGGAGAAGAGAAGACAATACAGTTGATCCTTGAACAGCATGGCTTTGAATCGCATGGGTCTACTTAAATGCGGATTTTTTTCAATAAGTACTGTAAGTGTATATTCTCTTATGATTTTAATTCTTCTGGCTTACTTCGTTGTAAGAATACAGTACATAATACATATAGTACAAAATATGGTAATCAACTATGTTATCAGTAAGGCTTCTGGTCAACAGCAGGGTATTAGTCACTAGGTTTTGGGGGGAGTCCAAGTTATACACAGATTTTCGGCTGTGCAGGCATTTGGCATCCCTAAACTTGAGTAGATGCAGAGGTGACAAAATACAACAGCCACTTGAAACCCTTGGCTGGAAAAGTAAGTTTCCTTATATTCTCAGCTATCTGCAGACCTTACTTTGAAAAAGGTTTGAAAGATACTGGTTAATGTACTGTTTACTCTGATGAAGAGTTTGGTGTGCAGCATCAACCTTCTGAGAGGTTTATCCATCACTCTGTAGAAGGGCAGCTAGTAGAATGTGTCGCTACTAGTTGTCTCAGCCATAAGTCTAGTGACCTCAAGGAGTCATGTGTTCAATAATATCGAGCATATAAGTTTTCTATTGCCATATAACAAATTACCTCAAATTTAGTGTCTTAAAGCAACACAAATCACAGTTTGTATAGGTTGAGCCCGGCACAGCATGGCTGGGTTCTCTGCTCAAGGTCCCACAAGACTAAAATCGAGCTGTCAGCCAACTGCATCCTCCCTGGAGGCTCAGCTGGATAAAGATCCACCTCCAAGTGCCTTCATGTTGTTAGCAGAATTTCCTTGTGGCTACAGAACTGAGGTCCTCAATTTCTTGCTGGCTATTGCCAGGAACTGCTCCCAACTCCTAAAGGCCACTCCCAGGTCTTCGCTATGTTGACCCCTCCGTAATCAGTTCAGAACATAACTGTTCCCACTTCAAATCTCTTCTTTCGAAGGGCCCAGTTCTGTTTAAGGGCTCACCTGATTAAGTCAGGCCCATCCAGGACGATCCCGATGAACTCAAAGGTAATTGATTAGGAACCATCTGCAAAATCCCTTCTGCTGTATAAGCTAACCTAAATCATAAGAGTGCAATCCCGTCACATACAGTAGCCCTGGCCCCCACTCAAGGGGAGAGGGTTATATAGGGTGTTGGGTGGGACCTGCAAACTCATCAAACCTAATCCAGGAAACAGACCAGGAAACAGAGGGCCAGAGAACTTAACCTTGCCCAGTCTGATTGACTGCTTTGAATTCACAGATGTCCTCCGCATGAAAGGAAATAGACTAGAATGTCTAGATAGACAGTATGTCTCTGTCCCAGTTGGCTTTCTCCAGTCTCATAGGTTCAGTGCACACAGCATTCAAATTTTTATAAATAAATATTATAAAAATTATAAATAAAAAGTGAAAACTATTAATGGAAAGTATGTCACCACTATTTTAAACATTTAATCATAAAAACCCCCGAGAAGCATTCTCATGATAAGTTAATGTGTTAGGGCAAAGGGGACTTCTGGTAATTGTGTGCTTTTGTAAACAAAGCTCTAGTGAAAAACGATACGTTTCTTGTAACTTTGCCTTTTTTTTTTTTTTTTTTCAGAATAATCCATTCACTTCAGTTAGCTCAATTCATTTTCTTGGACATAAAAATGCTCTGTGAAGATAGCTACGCAAAAACGTTAAAACAATAAGAACAAAAGTCCTTTTCTTACAGAGACTTGCATCACGATGCCCAGCGTCTACACTGTCCAGTTTTCTTTGGATCAAACCCCAGAAAGTCCCCTGCAAATTTTCAGGTCATTCTAGAGCTCTGTATGTATGTGTGTGTTGAAAAACGTCACTAGTTTTTGAAAGTCATCCAAAAACGTCCTTCTTCATGACATGATCTTGCCCCACAAATTCAGACTTAATTTCACCTTCTCTTTATGTGTGTACACATTGTTGTTTCTGACTATAAGAAACTTCAAAACTCCTAATATTATGCCTGTCCCCTGTTGCTGGACCTGGGACTATAACAAAGAAGTGAATCATTTGTCTTTCCCACTCCAATACTCCTCTCTCTTTTCTGCATCAAACCTTCACTCTAAAACTATCATACAGACTCATTCAGTAGAACTTATTTAACAAATTTAACTATTTGCAGTTAAATTTGCCCTGAACTGCTTTTGCTCACTAAGAGGCAAATGTATTTGAGCTACTTGAGTCAAATACGAAATCACACTTTGCAGTCATAAACTAAATGTCAGAAGTGTGTTTTGAGGTACTTTTCCTATATTCTAACTCTGTGACTCCAGCTACTTCCTTTGATGGGGGAGAGGGAGGAGGTTATTATTAGGGGAAAGAACAATAGTATGACAGTCCGCTAATTTTAATTTTTCGTTAATGTGGCTGACCGATAAGTTGTTAAAAAGGAAAGGTAAAAGGAAACTGATGTAAAAAGCAAATTCAGTATTTACTGCTCTGGGGTCTTTTAAACTGCTTAAGATCTTTGTCATTAAAAGCAGACGTTTCTCTTATAGAGCAGTTATATTCTAAAGTCAGTGCTTAGGGTAGAATGGAATAGAGTCAGAGTTCCCCCTGAACATTCATTAGGAAGGTGCTATAATACAGATGGACATAGTAACCCATATCTTGGTGGATCCAACCGTAATTTTTATCACCAGAGAAAGTATTTGAGTATTTGATTTGTATTTGGGGTGGGTGATGTGTATATGTGGTATGTGCATGTTTGTGTGTGTAGTATCTTTAAAACCAGAATCTCCATCATCAAGATTCTCTTACAAGGCACAAGAGAATTGAGAATGAAAGAAAAACATTCATGTCTGCCATTCTACATACATCGAGAGGAGTAGACCCTCTTGATTCTAAGAGCGAGAGCCAGATATAAGTGAGGTTGCTCACATAGGGCTGAATCAGAACAGAAATCTGGTCTTCCTGTTAGACAAACCCCTTTGGGAAGGGTCCTTACCACATCTCCACTTCCATCTTGCTCCCTGTTCTCTCATCCATTCTAATATCTAGTTCCATCACTCTAATGAAACGTATTTGCTAAGGTCCAGCCATGACCTCCTTGTCACTTCATCAACGCAACTGCTTCAGCCTGAATTTAAAGTGAGTTCTTACGGCAGCATTTGGCTGTGCCAACCACCAGATTTCTGT